AAATAAAATGAACAAAATATCTAAATAGTTCATTAAAGCAGCAGTATGGATGTCAAGTGTGTGTGTATAAAGATGGCAACATCATTGGTCATTAGGGAAATGTAAATTGAATCTACCATGAGATATGATAAACTTTAATCAGAATGCTTTAATTAAAGAGTCAAACCACATTTGTTAATGAGGATGTGAAAGAATCGAAACTATCATACCTGGTGGTAGAAGAAATAGTTTAAGTGTCTATTGAGTGAATAATGGTGTGCTAGTTTCTGTGTGAGTTTTACACTTCCTACACTGTTGACACTAACTAGAGGTACTTGTACCTCGCTAACTGCTTTATTCTTAAGGAAGATTAAAAAAACTAATTTATTCTTATGGAATCCTTTTAGGCCTTATTTTATTATGGGGATATTATTCAGGCCCTTTTTAGGGGGTACATCCTAGGGAGATTGAACTCAGGGGCATTTAACCATTTAACCACATCTCCAGTCCTTTTATTTAATTTTTAATTTCAATACAGGGTCTCACTAAGTTGCTTAGGGCCTTGCTAAGTTGCTGAGGCTGGCTTTGAACTTGTAATCCTCCTGCCTCAACCTCCAAAGTTGCAGAGGTTATAGATATGCACCACCGATCCCAGCCTGAGCGCTTATTCTTAAAACATTCTTTTCTTCTCCTCTGTGAAACCTCATACTTTCTTTCTCCTTCCCTTTTGACTGTTCCATCCCAGATTTTCTTTCATATTTCTCTTCTTCCTGTTTTAAATGCTGATGCTCTTTGGACTCTCTCTTAAAACTTATTTTCTTCTTATGCCACGAACTCCATAAGGTATGCCAACTCATCCAGTCTCTATAGTTCAATGGCACAGGCATTGATTGATTGCAATTGATGCAAGATTATATCTAACTACCTCTTTAAAGCATTTCAATTATTCTGGTCACACATACATAGTCTCTTTAAAATAACAAACTCTTTGTAAATGGCAAAAAAAAAAAAGTAAATAAACCTTAGACTCAGCCTTTCCTAATGTATTTGTCTAAACTCTTGTGTATTTTATTCCTAGTCTTAACAAATGTATTCTTCAAAAGTGATATTCTCTTTTATTTAAGGGCCTCCCCAACTTCTTGGAACATTCTCTTAGTTTCTCCTGACTACTTATGTCTTATGAATTTATATATCACTTCTTATTCTTCCATTAATTTATTCAGGGATGAGTTCGATGTCTGTATTGTGCCCAATCACAGTACTTCAGAAATTCTGTGATATTGAGTTATCTGAATTTCCCACCAGAAAGAAAGAACTCTGAGAACATGGACCTTATCGTATGTTTCCCACCACAATCTCTCTATATTTATAATATTATATTGTATAATATTAGTTTGCATGCATAATACATTAATAGAATAATACAGAAATGAGAACCTCTGTGCTTACCAAAAGGGAGGCTTACAGGCAATTGAGAAAACTAAGAGGAGTCTAAGTGCAGAAGTGAATGTGAGCACTCAGATGAACAAGCCTTTGGTAGATGGGAAAGGGCTGACCTGATCCACCCTCACTAATAAATATAAGAGGCTGTCACCCTACTTCAAGGCAGTTTGACATAATAGTCTACTTTTGGAGATGTCCACTGTGCTTCAAGAGTAACAAGTTAAAACAAACAGGGGGAAAAAAAAGACTAGCAACATCAACAAACATCACTAAAAAAAATCTGGATATTGGGAGGAAGAAGGAAGCTATCTTATTAAAGTTCACCAACACCAAGGAAATTGAAGAAAACTCATTATAAGAAGGAGAATGAGGGGGCGAGGAAAGGAGGAAGGAAAATAAGAAAAGGGGGGAGGAAGAGAGAGAGCGAGAAAAACATACAAGATGCAAACTTAGCACCAAAATAAAACCTCACTTGGCATTACCTTACACTAATTTGATTCAAAATGTAAAACTCTTCAATGTGTTATCATTCCCTCTCTCATCTTTTATTCACTCAATCTTTTTACTGTTATTGAATTTAAAAATTTCCCCAAAGATTTTACTAGATCTTATGATCTTTCTTCAGAAAACTTTCTTCAGAAAACATGTGGTACTCA